ATCGCACTTCCATCGTCCAGGACACCATGAAAACGCTGAAATGGGATCTGCTACCGCACCCGCTGTATTCACCAGACCTGGCCCCTTCCAATTATCACTTGTTCCGGTCGATGGCACATGGCTTAGCTGGGCTACACTTGGCCAATTTCGAAGAAGTGCAAAACTGATTGGATAAATGGTTTCGATGCAAAGACGCGTCGTTTTATCGTCGCGGTATTCATGTATTGCCAGAGAGATGGCAAAAATGTGTAGCTAGCGAGGGACGATACTTTGAATAAACCGTTTTTTGTATTTCTCTTGAAATTTTCCATTTTGCATTGATAAAAAAAACCCGGAAACTTAATTGCGCACCTAGTATATATATAATTATATTATTATTTCTTATTAATAATTATTGTAATAATTATTATATTATTTCAAAAGATAATAATTGTTAAATGTTGTTTCTACGTTATAGCAACATTTAACAATCAATATAGCAAAATCAACATAGATTCAATGTTGAAAAAACCTTTATACTTCAACATTCAACATTGCAACGTCTCAGCGACGTTATTTCAACTTTCTGTGCTGTGTGGGTAATGTCCTTTGTTTTAGGCGTGGCAGCAACAACACAGACAGGTGGCTATCAGGGTACATACATACATACATACATATATATACCGGTGACGCACATATCCAAGTTTTGGATGCAAAAAGATTCTGAACTTACACAATTGCAACGAGTTTTTTCTTATCTCTTTTGAATGTCTTTATATATTTTTAAAGTTTATCTATTAAAATCTGAAGCATTCTGCATATTTGTAGTAAGGCGTTTCAATATTACAAATAGATTGTACTGTAACATTATTGTAGTCTTACATTGTAATATTTCCAAGGGCGGACATTTTAACGTTGCCGCAAGCTTGCAGTTACACTGCAGAAACATTTTGCAACTTCCATGCAATATTACAATGTTTCAATGTAAGGTTTATGCAATCTTTCGGTGCTGTATAGGTATATATATATATACAGGGTGTTTCAGATCAAACGCAGGTCCTTGAAGGGATGGATAGATCTCGATAACGTGAGTAAAAAATGTCCGTACAAGAAAATTGTGGGGTCAATAGTTTTTGAATAAAATGCATTTGAAGTTAACCAATTACGGGCTTCGCATTTCGCGCCGTCAGGAGCAGCGCGGCATGAATTATTCTCGTTTGCAATATATTCTGCCACATCAATTATATATCGTTTAGAAATTATTATTAACATTATCATATTAGTAAACATTAAAATAAAACTCAATTGTTTTTAAAACAATTGCTTGTGTATAAGAAATAAATTCTTCAGTTACTAGAGAAACATTTTTATTGCTAAAAATAACATAACATAAAATAACATAAAATAACATCGTCAAATAGATTACTAACAACTGATAAGTGAGAGTAATAGTGAAATTAGCAATAAAAATGTTTCTCTAGTAACTGAAGAATTTATTCCTCCGGTGGAGGAACGCGTACCCGAGGGACGTGTGGACGATGCCAAAAGAAGAGATCCGGGACTCACCGGATGATAAAATGGTGACACATCGGATACGGCGGGGGTGGGAGAGCCTATTGGGGTATAACTTTCCCGGTGTCTTATTTGGGCGATGGGGCCAATCTGGGAAGAATGGCCTCTGGTTGGAGGTGCTATATTCCGGTCTCGATCATGTTACAGGGACTGGATTACTAATGAGGGTGGCAGCGGAAGCTGCTCGGGAGTTTCCCCACTGGGAACTTACATCGGAGGTCCGGTTATTAGCGAGGCGGCCTCCGACCCCACAATAGCCTTCAAAAGCTGCTAAACCTCCCCCACTATTGGGGGAGACAAGTAGGTTCCTCGTTGCCGGCCTGGGGGAGGACATGGACGAGATTATCTCGTCCTGTTCTTCCTTTCCCATTGAGGGTCGGACGGGAACATAGCAAGAAAAAGAGGGGGTGGGGAGGGAGGAGTTTCCTCCTCTGCCCCCATCCTCATAAACCCCCATCATGGGAGGTCCAAAGTATCCCTCCACTGGCCGGGGGTGGGTGCATTCACGCTCACACCTATAACGGCCATTGGGGGGATGTAGAGGAGTAATGGATTCCCACTTAGAACGGGAACCCATACTGGATTAAGTCCAGAAGAGAGCCCGACAAAGGACGGTCTCCCAACGGAGAATGGCTGAAGGTTGAGGTGACGTTATGCCCGCTGGGTCTTCTGCCTCACCCTCATATAAGACTAGGTCAGGTTCAAGGAGAGTTTTTAGCAGGTAGGTCCTCTCGGTGTCCTGATGAAAGTCAGGACAAACACTGAGAGGGAATCCTGCACTCTTCCACAGTACAGACTGTGGGGGGTCTTTTAAAGATTTTCTCTCTTTCCGGGAAAAAAAAAAAGCCACTCGCGCCCTGATATTTTTTCTCTCTTCTTTTCTTTCTAATAATTCCTATCAGTACATACTGATTTTCCATATGTGAGAACATTGTACTAAAATTTTCGTACACTTTTAGTATCTCGAATCAGAGATCGATGTACAAAGTTAACTGTCTCACGTAGACTAATAAATTAATTCTTTAAGAAAATTAGAATTTTGCACTAACATCCCGCGACGGCTCTTAATGCCTTTCTATTATATTATTTAGGAAAAAAAAAAGGTTTTTTGGGGTGGGGATGCAGAAGGAGGGGCGGAGCCCCTCCTCCGTCCACGCAATCTTTTTACTACACATAAATAAATGAATCTGCTAAGAGTAGTTCTATTAAATGTACAAGGTCAGAAAATTATGTTCCCCTCAGTAAACTTTTTTTGTTAATAACTTTTTTTCTGCGCATTTGCCAAAGTTAAAACTACGCTCACTAGCCTCCTCATCTCCTAATCTGTCCAACTATGCAATTTCATAGTCCTAGCTCACAGGGACCATTCGGAACTCCAGACAATAATATAGATATGTGAAAAAATAAAGGAGTGCGTCCACACCTGGATAAGGAACTTGTCCATAAGTGAAAAGCTCCATTAGCAGGATTCCGTAAGACCAGACGTCGCTCTTAATGCTAAATCTGCCGTAAACGATGGCCTCCGGCGCAGTCCACTTGACGGGAAATCTGCTGCCCTGCTTCGGACAGTACTCGTCATCTTCAATCACTCTCGCGAGACCAAAGTCGCAAATCTTGGCTTTATTTTTTTCGCCGATTAGTACATTTCTCGCAGCAAGGTCTCTGTGTATAAGCTGTTTGCTTTCAAGATACTCCATACCGGAAGCCACTTGGGCCGCGATATAGATCAAATCCTCAAACTGCATGTATTTGCCGTCTCCCTTCCGGAGAAAATCCAACAGACTACCGTTACACATGTACTCCTGCACGATGTAAATAGGCTCCTCTTTCGAACAGACAGCGTATAATGCGACCAGATGTCTATGTCGGAACTGCTTCATTATTGCAGCCTCTTGCAGGAACGCCTCGGTCGACATGGTTCCTGGACGCAGCGTCTTTACCGCCACCTCGATCTTATTTCGCCACTTGCCATAGTAAACTTTGCCGAAATTACCATTACCCAATTCTGAAATTAGCTGTATCTCATTCCTGTTGATCTCCCATTTATCGCGCAATTCCGGTCCGAGATCCCACATGTCTGGTTGCGGTTTCGGACAAGGCTTTGACAGCACGTGACAGAGACCCAACGCATTTTCTGAACGATGGAAATATCATGTTAAAGATGTACTGTTAAAGATTATCTAATGCAAATGCATATATTTTATTAAATGGACTGTGTGCTTGGTTTCATCATCGAAATTCATCAAGAAGGATATAAGAGTCATTCTATATCAAGTGATCCAATGTGAATTACCTTACCATTTTCTTTCTTCTTTATTTTACACATACATTTAGTACTATAAAAAGGATCTTAAATGTAAAAGTTTGTATGAATTTATTTCATCCCATTTTTATATTATAAGTGAGTACAAAATTTAGTAAGTTGCATATTTTCGTTGCAGGAGTCTATAGAAACACAATTTTTTCAGGCTAGAAATAAGATATTTTAATGAAAGAAAAAGCGTTTTATTCACAATTTTATGGGATTTTATTTAATATGTAACAAAACTAATTATAAGTTTGTAAAATTAACATTTTACGGTCACAATTCACAAAATCAAAAAAAATTTTTTTTGTTTTTTTAAATGTTTTAAAATTAAAAAAAAATTATACTTATTCTTGCATATTTAAAAACTATATACATTAAGTTTCCATTTGGGATGTCACTGAAATCATATTTTACAAAATTTTTTTTCCATACAATATGAAGATTTTCACATGTGGATATTAGGAGATGTAAAACTAAAACCACACAAGTACAAGGTACAACAGAGTAGAATAGTGTAAGTCACAATAATAAAAAGAAAATTCTACCTTCTTTACTTCAAATATTTTCATTTTTAGAAGGTCTGAATCATTATGTGATTTTCTTTGTAATGCTCTTGTTGTAGCAAATATCTCTTTTTGGTATCGGTCTGTCGGTGTCCTAGGGTCAACTTTAGTTAAAATATCTTTTCTCGGCACTTTTAAAACCTTTTCTTTGTTTGAATAAACAAATGATGAAGCAAGCAACAACAAGCGACGACTAAAATTTTTTGATTGTTACTCGGAAATATCTCCTTGACAACATATGTCAAGGTCATTAACTTTTGAAGGGGTTGACCTTATGTGAATATTTACCGAAATCAATTTACAAACAAAATTTGTGCCAAAATTTGGATTATTAGTCAAATTATATAGGGTGAGGCAATAACTATTACCACCTTAAATATCTTCGAATCTATAAGGTCCAGAAGAAGATTTATGATATGATATGAAAAAATATGATATATTATTTTAGCTACATATTTTTTCTTAAAGATAACTGTGTTTTTTTTTTTTTACACCAATCGATTCCTCTCATTATTTTGTGCATAAAAGTGTGAGGTAAAATAATTAAAAAATGAATATTTAACGAGATATTTTATAGTTAATGTAAAATTATGTCAAATTAAAGTATAAAATATCTCGTAAACCAGTGCTCGGAATTAGTCTGAACATTTCAGCCGATTTCCGTGGTATACGCCTCCTTTCCTCTCCTTACCGCGCGCGCCGCAGCCGCTAGGGCCAGCGCCGCCGAGCGTTAGGAGCGACACTATCTGATTATGAATGGGTTCTTCTT